CCCAGCTGTGCATGTGACTTGCTTACCTCTGTCTCTGTGACGGCCACACCATTTCCATGTCTGGGATGTAGAGAATTGCTATCCACCTACCATATCATTATGGCAAGGGTGGGGAATATCTAATCTAGAAAAGAAAAGAGTTATATTTAGGTGCGTGTAAACACTCTTACCAAATCAAGCTTTTAATGAAACCCTGTGTACAGGTGTAGAGAGTTCGACAGTGGATTCCTTTTTGTGTTATTTCTGTCAACACCAAAAGGTGACACCATCAAACAGGAATAATGATGAGCAAAACAGGTCCCAGTCAGGCAAACAAATCCTAACACCTGGACACACCTTCCCGTCCAGATAGACGAAGAAGTGGGGATAGGTGGATCAGCTGTTCAACAGCACAAAACCGGAGGGGGACACTAGGAACGTGCGCGCCTCTAATTCCTCCCGTCGAGCGCAAACCTGCGGGGATCCAGCCACGAACTCTGCCTCGCTAATAACTGCTTGCTGCTGCCACACGTGTAGCGTCAGCACCCACTTTCAGGCATGGAAAAAAGTCTTAGTCAGGAAGTCATATGCGGCTACTAATGAGATCCGTCCCATCGGTTAGTCACCTGTGACTGATTTCCAAACCTTTTCAGCCAGCTCTATCAGCTGGGTTAGTCGTTTAAAAAAATTTTTTTTTTTTTTTTTCTCCTCTCCCTCTCTGCTGCACGCATCGCACCAGGTGCAGTGATCATAGCTGGGAGCCCGCAGCTCTGAAAACCCCAGAGGAAGTGGCAGAAGGGACCTGTTGGTTTGTGCTCATCGCAGCTTCCTGCACCTGTAGGAAAACAAACAAACAAACAAACAAACAAAACCCTGACACACTGCTCTCCTATGCACCTGTGGCTCGTTGGGAGCATTGCTAAGATTCCCCTGTACAATTACAACAAATTAGTGACATCTGGTCCCTGCCCGGGGTCATTAAGACCCCTTGTAAGTCAGGCACGAGTGAGGGGTGTTAAGAAATGGGGTGATGTTGTTTCCATTAGTGCCTTCTGCTCTCTTACACCCAGGGAAGCCGCGTCCAACATCTCTCTGCGGATCACGAGTCTGTAGTGCAGACTGGGCTGTAATTTATCAGACTGAATATGACCCCACAGGGCACAGCATTGGGGAATACTCAAATGAGCCTTGAATTACCTTTTCCATTAGAGCTAAAGACAGTGTTTCAGTTGAAACATTTCCTCTGTTCCTTGCTTGGAAAAAAAGTCAAGGGGATAGATGTTTTGGGTTTGTTATTTTTTTTTTTAACAAAGATCCATCCCCAGAAAAAAAAGAAATTCTGTCACAACGTCGGCAAGCAAAACCCAGTGTTTGTAAAAAAAAAATAATAAAATTAAAAAAAAAAAAATTAGCTGCTTCAGTGAAAAGCTGAAAAGTGGAAGTGCAAGAGAAAATGAGAGGAGAGCTTTCAAATTTCTTGGCATTATAAAATGTTTCATCCTGCCTTTTGGGGAAGGGAAACTAGAGAAGGACAGAAGCAAAACCCCAAATGCCAGCCTGCCAAACACAGACCTGCTGCCCTTCCCAGGAGCTGGGGGTTCAGCACACAGACACCCCCCCCCCCCCCCCC